ACCTCTAATGATGTTCTGATATACAATTAACAGAAAGGATGCTCTAAAGAATTCATAATGGGGAGTAAAATACAATTGTATGAGCTACAGAATTATATTTTCTACGAGAGAGAGAGAGAGACAGAGAGAGACAGAGAGAGAGAATGAGAGAGAGAGAGAGAGAGAATGAACAGAGGAGGAACACGCAATAGCAAGGGAGCTAGGAAGATGAGGGTTCTGGTATAATATGAGAGGAAATGCAGCAAGGGGTCTGGAAAGGAAGGCAATCTCAAAGGAAGTGACAGACTAGGAGAAAAGGATAGGACAAGAGATAGGGGGCTAGAGAGAGCAGGAGGAACTGGAGACCATGGGATTATAGCCTCTGCCTCCTTTTCTGCCCACTTCTCTGAGTCCTTTGCATAAATCCCCATTTGTCCAGTTATCTGGGAGCCACCTTATTTCTCCAAGAATAAATACCTTATCGAGAATGCTCTCTGTCATGTTCAGCTAGTCACTGAAGATTATTTACAGGCAGTGCATGGGCACATGCAGGAGCTCTGGAGCTGGACAGCTTGGGTTTGTAACTTTGTTGTGTTTTTTATTAGATGTATAATGTTGTTTTGCAATTTAGCTACAGTTTTCTCAATTGTAAAATGAGGATAACACCTCATAATAATCATCTCACAGGGTCAGTGTGATGATTGACATACACATATAAAGGATTTAGCAAAGTGCCTTATTTATAATAAGGGCTCAACATATGTAAGGTATTATGAGTATGATAATAGTAGTATATACTCCTTAAGAAGGTCTATGACCTTTTCGAACTGACATGGAATTCCCAAGAGTCTAAATGGTTGCCTAGTTACAGTTTTATCCTCAAGATTAGAAAAATAATGGAGAATCTAATAATAATAGAATGGTTATTTGGTGCCAAAATTTCTTAGACTGCAAACCATTGGCAATATTATACTTCCCAGAACATTTCTTTTACCTAACCTCTTTTACTCCACTGATGATTTCTTAGTTATACTGGTAATAGTAAGGTTATTTGGCTATAAGAAATGTTATGGCAGATGTTTATGGTCTCATAGGGGGTGGGATCTGTATGAGCATTTAATTCCACAGCAAGATCCGAAATTAGTTTCATTATTCTGGAGAGTATAACAGGGTGAAAATTGGCCCACAAGCCTCAATGGGGGAATGAAATGATGAGCTGGATATTAGATAACCTCTAATGATGTTCTGATAAACAGTTAACAGAAAGGATGCTCTAAATAATTCATAATAGAGAGCAAAATACAATTGTATGAGCTACAGAATTATATTTTCTACCAGACATAATAGATTTTGATATAGCAAATTTAAATACTCCTTTAAAAATAAGTAACTGTCTATAGGTTGAAGCAAAATACATTTATTCACATTCCCAAATTAACAGATTATAAAGATAGCTTTGCTTATGGGGGAAAAATGAATCTGGAGAAATTCTTTGCTCTTACCCTTCCTCCAACATCAACTAAACCAAGCTCCTCTCCTCTCACTAACATCACACTGCCTCTGGTCTCGCCACATCATACCATTTCAGGACTCTATCCCAGATTCCAGCTCTTTTGGTTCTCTGATTTATAATTATGTTACCTCTTCCTTTTTGCATTGACAAATATGATTGATTTCTTGGGATTATGTAGCCAGCTGCTAGAATGAAATAACTCCAATAGACATAAAAAGTGAGAACATATGATAAGCTAAAGAGTTAGCTGGGTTTTATGCTTCTTTTGTGCCACCCCACTTTTTGCTGCCCTCCCAGGAGAACTGAGCCTCATAATGTGATACTAATAGGATAAACCTCCAATATGGGATCGAGGCAGCCCAAGGATGTAAGTTCCAAGAGGGCAGAAGGGTCAAGTCAGATGTCTTCTATCATCTGTGCCTACCACACTACCTGAGCCATTGGAAGTGTTCAATAAATAAAAATACCAAGAAAAGCACACAACTTCAGAAGAAGTAGAATTAGTTTGAAATTGAAATATTGAGACAGCACTGGAATATCTGAGGTAACCGAGTACATGTGAGCCTTTCTGGTTGACCTAAAATCACAGACAACTAATTATAAATATGTAGAGATCACCAAATTCAATCTACTTCATCATTTTAGACATAATTCTAAGTTATTGCTTTGCTTTCATAAAACACTTAAGTAGTTGCCTAATGTCATTAAGTGAGAGAAATCAAGGTAAGACACTTGGAATGAAATATGGTTCCCCTGCCCCACTGATGAAAATAACTCTTCAAGGTTAGAAAATAATGATATTAAGTTATAAAATGACTGGCATAATGCTTGGCATTATAGCAGGTACATAGTAAATACTGGTTAAAAAAAGAATGAATAGAAGGTATTGTCAGATACGTCTTAGCAGAAAGGAAGATAAATTTTAGGGGCCATCTGTGAAGATCAATCATGGATGGTACACAGCCAAGGGGTGGGTTGAGAACACAACATATGGTGGACAGATAGAACAAGAGTTGACCCCTGAGTAGTACAGAATGAGAACCATCTAGTCAAAGATTCAGGGCACAGGCCTTCTAAAACATTAATTACTAAGTTTTACCAGTGTTTTACCTTCTTAGGATCACACATAAAGCTGTTTGATTTTAGGTTTTTCTTTTTTTAAACAGAAATTTCCCCTTTAAAAATAATGTTAGCAACCCAAGTGTCCTATGATAGATGATTGGCTAAAGAAGCTGTGGTACATATATACGATGGAATATTATTCAGCTATAAGAAGAGATGAAATACTGCCATTTGTGACAACATGGATGGACCTTGAGATAATCGTGCTAAGTGAAATAAGCCAGAGAGAAAAAGTTGAAAACCACATGATATCACTTATATGTGGATATAAACCTAAAAGCAACAAATGAACAGGACAAACAGAGTCTCATGGACATAGACTACAGACTAGTGGTTACCAGAGGAGAGGGGAAGGAGATGGGGTGAAGGGGGTCAAATATGTGATGACATTAAAGAATTAAAAATAAATGAATAAATTTTTAAAAAATAAAGAAATTTTATCTCATACCAGGAAAAAATATAATAATGTTAAGAGGGAAGGGGAACAAAGGGAGTCATTAAATCTAAACAAAATGGTAAGTGAAGAAACTTCACTTTCTGAATCATTTTATGTTCTTACAGACACCTTTTTTTTACATTTTAAATATTTTTATTAATTCCATTCAGTCTTTAACAGCTTTATTGAGATATATAATTCACCACAAAATTTATCCATTTTAAGTGTACAGTTAAATGGTTCTTGTTATATTCACAGAATTGTGTAACCTTTATCTCTATCTAATTTTAGAATATTACCATTAGCATCAAAAAAACTCCTATAGCCATTTTTACCCACTCTCCCTTTCTCTCAGCCCCTGGTAACCACCAATCTAGTTTCTGTCTCTATGAATTTGCCTATTCTGTACATGTCTACTAAACGGAATCATATAATTTGTGTGCTCTTACGTCTAGCTTTTTTCATAATATTTTTGAAGTTCATCCCTGTTGTAGTATCTACCAGTATTCCACTCCTTTTTATTGTTGAATATTATTCTACTATAAGTTATGTTACATTTTGTTTATCCTTTCATCAGTTGGTGGACCTTGGGTTTTTTCCACCTTGTGCTATTAGGAAAAATGTTGCTATGAACATTTATGTACAAATCTTTGTGTAGATATATGTTTTAATTTTTTTTGGTATAAGCGTAAGAGTAAAATTGTTGGGTCATATGACCATATGTTCAACATTTTACATATACATACTCTAATCGTAACATTTTGAGAAACTACCTGTTTTTCAAAGCTTGCCAGATATTTTTGAAGCATAAAAAATGAAATTTTAGTCCAATATGTTCTCTGTTGTGATAGAGAGTGAAATAGTTTTTTTTAAAAAAATAAATAAATGAACAGGCAAGGAAGACCATAACTTCAAAAGACCTAGTTTGAAAAAAAATCATTAGTTTGAAACCCAACTTTAGACTCAACATTGAAATAACTTGGAATTTAGTGTGATTCAAAAGCCATGTGAATGACACTAAATGGACCCCAAGATAGGTCTGCTGTCCTTGGTTTAGTGATCGACATTCTGACCTATTTCTGATGATTTCAGCCTTTGCCTGGTATGTTGGCACTTATATAGAAATTTATTCTTCCATATTATTAAATGTTATAACATTGGGGACATCCACTTTCAAAAAGTTTCAAAAAGCTTCCACTTTTAGGAGTTTTTATATGACACATCAAAATGTTTTTAATTTTAACATTAAAAATTTTACCAGACTTTCCTAAATTATTGAGGACAGAGCTTTCATCCTGCTCACTGTTGTCATATCCCTTGTACTTAATCTTTGTACTTAATCATATGAGGCGAGGGAGGCAAAAATATTTATGGACTTGAAAGTAATTTCATTTACCTAAAATTACAAGAACTAATTTTTAATTTGCTATATACAAACTAAAACTAACATTCTATGTGAGAAAAATGCAATATATGAAACCACTGTCTGGGTGAATGTGTGAATGTGCATTGACTACTCTTCTGAATGTGCAGTTTAACTGCCTTTATGAAAGAACTACAAGTGAGACTCACTTTGGAAAATACATGGTGAATATTTTATGTTTCGTCTAAAAGAAATCTACAAAGGAGAGTTAAAAAAGAACACATATTTTTGCAAACAGGTTTCATTCTTCCTGAAAAGATTTTAAAATCATGTATGCCTGCCTTGGGATTTAGTGGTCCTATGCAAAGCTCAGAAAGCAACATACATTCAGTTTATCTGTCAGAACTACTTGGAATAAAGGCAGTCACCTTATAAAAAGGCATATTACATAGAGTGACAAATGGCAGGTATAGTTTATAAAAAATTCAACACTTTCAACATCTGATTGTTATTTTTTACCAGTTCCTCAAAGCATACAGTTTAATTTTTTAATGTGAGACAGAGATACAATTTTTTCTAAAATACAAATAATATGACAACCTCATATCTTGTCTATGAAAAGAAGCTAAATAAGTCAATAGGGTTCTTGCAATGCATGTACATTTTTTCCCTAGTTAGTGAGAACATGCTGCCCTGTAGATTTCTTTGCCAAAACAAAGCAAAATATATTTCAAAGATTAGATTTCCATTCCAGAAAAACAATCATAAAATTTAAATCAACATGAATGTATAAAATTTGTGAAAATCTTTATGAACTGAGAAATATTAAAAAAGAATTAAAGTATATATAGATTTTTTGCTCATGCTTCAAAACAATGTAGCTGTTTTATATTAAGAAAAACCAGAGGCAGTGTTTCATGTAAAATGTTCTATAATCCAGGCTGAAATTAGCAATTTAAATTTGTTGAATGAGGTTACAGTGCAGTATCTAATGCACAAATCACAGAGATTTGAGTACTTCCATAGTTGTTAAAAAAATGTATCGAAAGGCCACAGGTTAACACTAATGAATGTATGTTACACTATTATTATTAAAATATTCAATCTGTGATAATAATTTATTTGTTTTACAAATGCGTTGCAGGGTTAAAACTTTTCTATTCATCTGTGACAAACCATGAAATTCAATATTGCTCACCATGACCAATCCATGAAATTTGTCAACTTTGTTCCTGATTTTCACAGGGCCTTCCTCTTAGATGAAATGACCCATTGAACTAAGAGCATAGCAATTTTTTCATCTATGGTAAATCAGTTTAGTTTATTAGGATTTACTATGGGCTTCAGACCCTGAGCTTTTTATGATTATAAACCATTATGAATAATCCCAAAATTCTGGCAATTTTTCTGTTTCTCCCCCTTCTGAAAGAATTCTCCATTTCTAAAATTAGTTTTCAAGGAAGGGTGACAGAAGGAACAATATGTAAACAATGGGTTGGTTAAAAATCAAAGAGTAAATGAAAATTATAGGAAAATTGGAACCAAGGTTGTTAATTACTTTTAGACTATCTAACACAAAAGCCTCAAAACTCACTGAAAATCAAGATTTATATATTGTGCTTACCAGAATGTTAAGAAAGGAATACTTAATCTAATTTATCCTAAGAAAAAGAAATACTGCATGTCTAACTTTCACTATCTAAGAAATAAAAATATGCAATTATCTAGTTTTTAAGATAAAGCGACTATTTGGAGGAGATTTAAACAAAATTACATTAATATTTTATCATAAGACCTACTGAGACCTTTTCTATATTACAAATTTGAATTAAATAAACCAGAAATAAGCCAGAAAACTAGTTCAAAATTTTAATTTTTCAAAATCTTACTTATTTAGCTAAGTAAAGTATGACAACATTTAAAAAATGCTATTCCTATCTTCACTTGCCATTACTAGCTCAGACACTAAAGTCTAATACTAAAAAGGTGAATCTATGGTAGATTAATTGACAGTATAAAACTATAAGGTCTCTTCTAGATTTGAGCGTACTTTAGAACTTTTTTTTTTATTAGAGCAAATCACTTTACATAAAATTAAAAACTAAAAAATATTTTTTAAAAAGCAAAATGCATTAGATATGATTTTATTTTTCATAGAATTTCAAGATATGGCTGAAATAACAATGCAATTAATATAATTTGACCATTTAAAGAATTCAAATAGTGAAGCTCAAAATGACCCTGATTGTATTGGAGCCTTATCAACTGAACAGGATTGACTGATAGAGATATGACACAGTATTAGGACTAAATTGCTTTGAGAATGAAGAAAGCCCTATTGGTTAGTGTTAGTTTTGTAAAATGGCCCAATTCACAAAATCAATGCAGTCCAAAAAATTTCTACTTAATATTTTAAAGAATTCAATAAATAATATGAAAATAACTTGGCTAAATCACATTATTTTATATATTATAATAGCTAAAAAGAAAGTATATTTGATACTTACTGATATAATTCAGTTAATGGTGAAGTCAAAATGACTAATGTTGTAAACAGATTATTACAATGGGTATGAATTTTAAAAATTTTGTCATCTATGTACTCATGAGGATTTAAAAGTTTCTTTACAGATGTACAAACTGACCATAACATGTTCTCAGTGCATATTAAAATTGTGGTGACATCAAGTCTGTTGGAAAGAAAAGGAAGAAAATTATGTTAAACAAAACTGTTTTTCTGCTTGGCATATACTCTATCATCTATATCTCTTGTATTAAACATAGGTAAGAATAGAAATATTTGGTTAGATACCAGAGCTTCAGAGATCAAAGAAAGAGAGCATCAAAGACAGATTTTCAGTTTCCAAGTATAAAATGACACATAATACCATTATCTTCACGGGTAGTGAGGTCTACAATAGTGAAGTATTTTAGGAATACTTTTAAAAAAATATGTTTATTTTGCATTATCAGAATACTATTTAAGAGGTTCAAGTAATTTTCCTTGAAATTATATTCTTCAAAAGAAAAGCCAGATTAAAAGAAAATGTGCTATTATCCACATATATATGATAAGTAACAATTTGAAGGCAGAACAATTTTCCTCATCCAAGTATAAGCTGTTTGCAGAAAGTTACAAGGCTGGGTCACATGTTCTCCCAGCAAGTGGGAGATGAGAAAAAATGATACCAGAAGTACTAATGCAGAAGCATATAGTTTCAGAAGTTTCCAATATTAAATAAATTTTTGGAAAATATACTATATTATTTATCTTATTTATAAATTTATTTATCTGCTTCTATCTTTATTGAGTTTTAATAGGGATCCAAAGATCTGTTTAAAGATTATTTTGGTCTATGACATTTTACAGACCTCAGTTCATTCCTTTCTTTTTTCTTTTAAATTCAGTGTTGAAAAAATAGAAGATGGAAATTTTGAAGTGATAAGAAGAAAATTAAGTTCAAGGACCTTTTAAAATAATATTATGGCTTCAAATTTATTATATATACAATAAATTTATACATACATTAATAATATATAACATTATATATCGTATATATGGTTTTGGTGATTTGACAGTTGGAGGCTACTGGAATACTAAAAACATCAAAAATCACCTTTAGGAAGGTTTGATTGTAGTTTGCATCTACTTACTCTAATTGTTAATTAAACAATTACAAATTCAAGATATATGTATACACATACACACAAACACATACACACCTGCAAAATCTGATTTCCACATTAATACTGGCTTAGGTTTAACATTCAAATATTTTACTTAGAGAAACTAGAAGAAATAACTCTAGCTTTGCATGTCATTTTTATGTAACTACCCAGAAAATAAAAAACAAAAGTCTCTACAGTACAATTATTTAATTAAATATACTACCTATTTCGTGAGCTAATTGTAAATCTGATTTCACAAACATCTCATAATGACTTGCCACCTCATAGTCAAAAGTGATTTGTACCATATAAGGAAAAGAATGAGGTATTCTTTGCTCTAAAAAAAGGAATTTTCCATCTATTCTTCAGAGTTCAATTTTTTAAAAAATAAATGCTTGGTCAGTAATTCAAAGTAGCCTGCGCAAATTACTATATTTATGAAACACTATGACAGACCTAAATGCCCTTCAGCAAGCATGCTTTATAAGAACATATTCAGGGAATGATTCCTACTGCCAAAGAAAAACAAAACAAAACACGAAAGAGGCCTCTGAGGTCTGTAGGTTCCTCCTAAAATATATCTATATGTACCTATACCTATATATATTTACAGACCTTAATCACATTAGTCAGAATATTTATTAAAAAAGCCTTCTTGTCATAGAGACCATTGTTATTAGGTAAGCAAGTTTTTGTAATATTCATTGTCTAGATAATTTATGGAATTGGTTTATAATTCAGTCTTTAATTAATTTAATATTCAGTAACTGTTGCTCATCATTTTCTGTGATTTCACATTTTGTTAAACTGGCTTTTAATAATACATAATGAAAAGAAAGAAAGAAAAAGAGGAAAGAAGTAATTAGAATATATTAAGGAGAAAAATGATTAGACAAAGGAGTTTCCTTAATGAAGATTAACTACAATATTAAAAGGCTTTAAAAAAACTGAAAAACTAAAATCATTTGGTTGCTTAGAATCTCAAAGCCAAATCAACTGCTCTATCACAGCAATGCTTTTTTCCTCCATTTCGGGATTTCGATTTTCTCTATCTAATAATATATATTATAATATATATTAAACCTAGATTGCAATATATCTTGAATCATTTTTTAGAAACAAGTGGGTTCTATATGCAATTTTAAGAAGAGAAAAGCGCAGTTATTTGATTCAAGTTCCACATTTCCACTTAAATATCTCAAGAAAACTGAATATGATTTCCTTTCAGATGTTAGATACATGTTAAATATACAAGAAGTTATGTCATGAGATTCATAATTACATTCTTCTTTATACCAAATGGTAAAAAAGTTTTCTTGAAAAGCAATGGTTTTTACATCAATTACCTTATCTGTGGAGTTCTCTTATAACTTGGATGGGCCCGAGCATATCTGGAGGCCAGTAGACCCAAAGATTTCTCCAGAACTTCTGCTAAAATCTCCTGGGCTAACTTAGGGGGCAGAATGGTCCAGAGATCATGATGAAGAGCCCAGAAGAAATAATGCCACATCTGGAGTGAGAAGGAGCATCTTTCCCCCTGGCAAAATTACCACACATTAAACAATAGAACCAAATCTTCCAAAATGTCAAAAGTTTGTTTCCTGTGAACCCAATTAATTCAGGCTGAAAGGAAGTAGCTGGAGAGTTTGACACACTAGATGACCAAGAAAGATTTTTGACAAGATGTAAAACATCCTTACTGACAAAGGAACATACATTTTATTTCAGTTACAAGACTAGATATTCCAATGCAAATCCAGATTGCAAGCGTTTAACCTAGTATATCTTTGATTTACCTACTCCTGGTCTACAGTTTAAAATTTACTTTTAAATAATCAGCTTTATAGCTGCTAAACAAGTCATGCTAGTTTAAGATAGTGGTCTACAGTTTAAAATTTCTTCTAAAATTAAATTTTCATTATTTAAATTAAGTATTATATTTTTCTGAGACTATTGGCATCACTGAGATAATTTTACAAATATTCAGATTTCACATTATAATGAAAATGATAGGAGCAAAAATTAACTTACATACTGTATACTTATCGACATGTGTGGAACAAAGGAGGATAGGTAACTATTGAAGATTATTACATTAAGCTATTTTATCCATGGTGTTTTAATAACACCACTAGAAACAGATAATTCAATAGTCTGATTTAACAAGATTTTGTAAAGCCTAGGCAGATGCTATCATTATTTCTTATTATTTTCACAGCACTTCATACTTCCAAGGAGCCAGATTTTCATTCCCTTCCTTCTCCTTATAGACCTCTTCCTGTGTGCCAAATTTTCCCTGACCACAGACAGAGACTCAACAAAGGCCAAGGCCAAGGGGAACAGGCAGAAATGAGAAGGTAGCCTCAAGTGATTTACAACTGTTAATTAGTTAACATGCTCACAGGGAGGTATGCTAGTAATTTGACCTCATTTTCTTCAAACCAGATTAAAAGATTATTTGAAATAGGAAGAATAGAATGCATTCTTCAAACAGTATCTTGATTATATAACTATATCTAAAGTTAAACTAGTAAAACTTCCCATTTTACCTCTAAGTAATCCTTTTTGACTTAAAATTTCTGCTTTGTCCACTATGTATATTTCTCAAATAAATATCATCTAAATAAAAAAAACTGTTCTCTTATACCAAAAGTGAATACTTTCTTATGCATATGCTCCTATTAGTGTTTTCTTTATATATAATTCTTCTGGTAATTTCTTTGATTAATAAAATCTTTTTTAGTTACTATATAATGATCATTTATAGTTTTCTATCGACTTTCAAATGGAGTTTATAAGTGAGTAGAATTGTATCCTTGGGTGGGAAACTTGGGCATCAAATTTCAAAGAGTCAAATGCAAACTGGAAGGGACTCTGACCACTGGCTCCTGACTTTCTGACTATATGTATCAAAACTATTTAAGAAAAAAAATTACAAAATTAATGAGGAAGTAGCAAAATGATAGTTCCTTATGCTTTCTTTATTGTGTGTTATACAATAAAGAATACTTTAAAAAATTTCCTAAAGTAAGAAAGGAGTTTGAAAGCTCGATTTTCTTATACTTTTGGTGTTGTATTTTAATTAAAGAAAAGCTGACTCAGCTGATGTAATGACTAGTATGAATAATTTACACTAACTTTTCCCACGGCACTGGATAGGTGCTTATAATAACGTGGTCAACATGATTTCTCAAAGTTTTCAAAATATTTTTAAAAAATTCCTTGCAATAAAGAGAAAATAAAAATAATTTTAGGCACACAGATTTCTTCTTCTAAAAGTGAAAAAGAATTATTTTTAAGACTTTTTAAAATATAAATTTCAAGTTTATATTCCAAACTGGTCATCATTCTCACAATTTTCTTCAAAATGTGTGTAACTTCAATGTATGTAAGAGTTTTCATTAAACTAAATGTGATTCATTTATTTTTCTGACCTATTTCTCTATTTCTTATCATTTCAAAAGTACTCTGATAGTAAACATCTGTTATTTTTGTAGACTCACTATAATGTAAACAGATGTGAGTTTTTATTTAGATTATATATCAGGAAACAAGCAGCTGGGTTTTATTATATAGCCACTCAATATTATCTTTGAATAGACAATTCTTTATTCTTTGACTGTTGGAAAACACAAGTTGCTAAAATTGAGCAGATGTCAACTGTACTAAATGCTTAATTTTAAACATGTAATCTGAACACCCACTGTGCTATCCGACCAGCACCTCATCAGAGATACCAAACTCTTCGACTCTCTCAACCTGACAGTCTAGAAAGTGGAAATAATGTACCTAGGGCTCACTTGATATCACAAAACATGAATAAATGTTGCTCTACATCTTTTAAATTTGTTCACTATTTATTTACTATACACTGCCCATGGCAATAGGTTCCCCTGAGATCTCTATCCTGTCATTTGCCTTCAATCAGGCAGATTTCATCTCCTTTCCTCTCAAAATGGCCCTGCCAAAAAACTAGTCCTGTTTTACAAGACAGTTGGAATAATGGCGAGAGGAGGAGAAAGGGGTTCAGTGAACAGGATAAAACCCTGTCAGGTACTCCAGCTGTCAAAACAGTTTAAAATCTGTGTTATTTTTAGAAGGTTCTTATTTTTGGTAAATAGAAAAGCAGTATCACTTTATTTTTCAGAGCATAAATAACAACCACTAACTCTGCAATTAAATTGTAACTACTGACCATGTAAGTATATGGAAGCTATAGTACCATGTAATCACAGGGTAACTATCTTATTATTTCTGTCTTTGAAGCTAAAGCATTGTCATAAGATCTAAGAACCACATGTTACATAGTAATTTGGTTTTTTTTTTGTTTGTTTTTAATTCTTGGTAACTTCAATAACAGGTTCTCAATGCATCTACTTATTATTTATACTATACAACTCTTCTAGCTACCAATTTGCATAAGAGGAAACATAATACCTCTATGTTGGACATATAATGAGATGATACCTGTTTTTCAATGAAAACATCATATAGAATTGCTCATTAGTATACTGACACATTGAAATAGTTTGAAACATGAGATGGATTCATTTTCAACCTCTCTGTTTACCTCAAGGCAAATAAGGAAGCTGTGATGCTGCCAAGAGAGGGGAAGACCAATACTTTCATTCTTATCTCAGGCTACCAGCTGTACTATACCACTTTCTCATTTTCATTCTGCTCACTCTTGTTTGCAGTATCTCAGGTTTGGAAAATTCTATATGGATGCTCTTGCAAAAAGAGAAACTATCTGGGAAGGGCCTCTAAAGGAGAGATGAAATGGCCTTAGAATAAGTGGAAAGTCCTTTTAAAGAGGTTCTTATTAGCTGCTCTTCTCTGGTGTGGCAACATTTATTATGATACTAACTCTGGCACAAATAGAGCCACAGGAATCTTCAGTGTAAGGGAGGTGACAAGAGTGACTTGGTTGAATAAAATTCCAGTCTGTTTTTCTCAATACTCTATAGTGATTAGGACAATCAAGAAAAACAAAAACCATAGGCTTCAATCTAAAGGAAAGGGTAGATAAGACTAATGAAGCTAGATTTGACTGATGAATTTTTTTAAAACCCCGATTATCTCTTATTAAGATATAAATGTTTCACCCTGCCCTGAAAGCAACTTCGAGGAATTTCAAATATTGTAGCTTATGTATAATCAATGGGATTTACGGGAGGGGAAAATAATGAAGCCTGATGATGGATAATTTTAACTAACTCTGGGTTTGGTTGCACTGGTAATCATTAGGCTTTAATTCAGTAGAAATTTGGGATTTCAAAACACAGGTTAAATGAAAATAGATAAGCTATAAATGATCAGATGGTTCCTAAAGCACTCTCATAAGAAAATACAATGACAAGGAAAAAAATAAGTATAAAGAATAAAGCAGCTTAATAAAAAAAATATTTATCAAACATAGATTGAAATACATAACAAGAAAAAAAAGCGCAAGAATACCTATAATTGGTCCCTTTGGAAAAAATACAAGGTTGTAGCATTTTGGCATTGTTATCTCTTAGAGTTTTCATTTCATCCCATTATATTTCAACTTATCATATAGCACTGAAACACTGCAGCTCAAATTAAGTTATTTTTACTTTTAAGCAGAAGGAGAGTTCTGATGTCTAATTATTTCAGGTTTTTAAAAACAGTGTTTTTCCTAAGTACAAATTCAATATTTTAAAAATATTATCCTAACAGCCTTCGTGTGTTAGTAATGCCAAGCTCATGTTTCTAATTAGCCAGAAAGCAGGTAGGCAGTAAAACATATTTGTGTAAAAAGGAGGGATAGTAAACTTAACTTCACACCTCATAAAAAGCTTTGTAGTCATCCCAGTGGTGGCTCTCAGCATCCTGTAAAATGCTTGTAGCACAAACTCTGACGCAGTAGTCCGTAACCTGAAACTGTAGAGTGTTGATGAATTCCTGATATCTTTGGACAGGCACCAGGAATATGGGTCTGTTCAGAGGGAATGATCAAAGGGACAGAGATTTAAGGCCTGTGCAGTAGGAGGTAACAATCTCCAGTACTACAAATGGTTTTGATTATTAGATATCAATCATTCATTTCCTCCTAATGCTTAAGTCTGCATTCACATTCACTTTCCGAAAAAAAAAAAAAAAAGCTGGTCTTTGTTTTGCAAGTCCTTTGAAAATGTACATCTGCTGTTCCACAAATATGCACTTCAACTTGAGACAAACTGCATTGTCAATATATCATTCAAAAATAAAAGTATTCTTTGTAAGCCTATTATTAGAGAGCAGTGCATTATTTAGGCATTAGGTTATTGTTATTATAGAGAACACATGCATTTGTCAGAACCAACTTTTATAAAGCTATCACACCTCTCACAAATATACTCTTTTTATTTTAAAAATTGTAATTTTGTAGATGTCAATTATCTCCTAAACTGTTTTAAAATATTCAACAGAAATAAAGTGATTTCTGGCACATTTTGTTTATAAATTTAACTATGAATCACAACATCTGACTGCTTATGAGAATTAAAGAAATGTCACAGTTATATCCTACATCAAGCCAAATTTATTTTACTTTATCTTCAGCTATTTATGTTATGCTTTCTCTCATAACTAAGGAACTGCAAAGGCTGAATAAGTAATACAGAATAGATTCTTGGGTTCACTCTGGACTGCCAGGTCCACATGTTCCCTTTGCAAGGGGCCGCACTATCTTCTAGAGAGTACAAGAGGATAGTTAGAAAGACCATATGATAATATCTGTGGTCATTTTAATTTTATGTACAGAAAACATAGAATCACTTTAGACTACTAATACATGAGAATTAACACTGACAGATGCTTCCTTCTCAAATGTTAAGGGTAGTTTGTTAATAAATTGATGTTCAAAAATATGTTTACATTAGTCAACAGAATAGACTGAAATGCATTTTTTTCTATGTTATCTCCTAACTTCTTGTAGGTTTAGAAACAAAAGAGAGAAGTGCCTATTTTACAACTGTGTTGCACAAGGGACAAAAAAAAGTTTATTTTTCCTTTTCAGTGTAGTCAATACAAAGTACCTCACATGGAAAGGGTTTGTTTGGTTATGTCATAACAGCATTCAGAAAATTGTTGCTCCAGATTAGAATATGGAAAATACATGGGTCTTTTGAGTGAACCATTAGAAAAAAATATCTTTCTTACTATCTGTGTATCTGGTTTAATATATTCCATGTTTCACCTTTTTGACATTTCCTAGTCAAGACAAATGAAAATATTTTACCGTGTTAATTATTATTTTCTCTTTCTTAAACATTATCATCAAAATTTCACTCCTGTGATATACAAAGAGTACATGTTACTATATGCACGGACATCAATTTAATTTAAATAATACTCACTTCTTAGTATTTTCTTCCATCAAATTATCATATTGAGTAAAATGCTGGAAGACACACACTGCCGTGGAGAGCAGTATGTGCAAGTTTTTCAGGGGTGCTTTGCAAGGAACCTCCTTGCCTCTCTCTTGCAGTCTCTCCAGGACAGCTGTTGCCACTTTACAACAGGCCTCCACAAAGTTTGCTCTAATTTCCTGAAAAGAATCATCTCTGCATGCCAGAGCCAGTGGAAGCATTGTGTCAAGTTTTTCCATGATGTCAGAACAAAACTAGGGAGAAATAAATGTAGCACCGAGTTATTTGTACTCTGACAGCACCATGTAATTTATGTACAGGGGAGCCAAATTCCTAAATAATGAATTTGGCATCAAACATAAATATGATGATATAACTTTATAGTAATCAATTTCTCAGTTGTAGAAAGTTAAGTGTTTTAAGTCAAATAAGGAAATACCAAAATGATGCTTCTCTCTATATAACTTTCAAACTTTATGCTTACCAGACATTATGAAAAACTCATAAAATAGCTTTGCATGACAATACTTTCATTTGTAGTTAAATACATATCCTTGATATTAACATGATTGCATGATTTTTGAATTTAATTTTCTTTTGCTAAATTTTTATAAAAGATTTTTTAATTAATCAACACATGTAAATAAGGTCATGTCAGTTTAAATTAATCTAGAAGCATCGGAAAGAACCTCCTGTAGCATCTTCTTATTGGTGAGGAGTCAGCAACTTTTAGAAGTAATGCCTGTCTACCTCTTAATGGGAAGGCGAAACTTGCCTCTACTTAGATTAGCCAACAGTGTTCTCTGGGGAATGTTCTGGAGCCTCGACGTGACATTACCAGAATAGGAAGCTATCTTTAAGAACTCTTTTAAAAACATTTCAGTCATGGGTTGCTGGACTCATTGTGGACTTAATACCGAGTAACCATATTGACCTATTTGCATAATTACCTATTATTTTCTCAGTGTATTCTGTGACTCTCAAAGCACATATAAATATGTAAGACTGACGCTAATGAAACAGAATGTTCATTAAGGGATAAAAACAGATTTAAAAGTTGCCCAAACCAATAAAAGACAGTAACTCTAAATTTCTCCTGAAGTCATTCAAAGGTATAACCCAAACAAGTAGTAGACATAGGGAAAACAAGATGGTAACAAGTCTAAGTCCTTTTTGCTAGTAATGGCCCACAATACCAGAGAAGAAAACTGGTATTGGGTCAAGTACCAAGTGTTTGCCAAGAGGCTCCACCATTTTTCTACAAGTTCCCTTTCAATGGCTTATAAAAAAAAAAAAAAGCCTCATTATGCCAGTCTACCATTTTGAAAGGATTTCACTTGGTTCTTGCCTTTGCAATTTTCTTTGGTTGGTCCTCCTCAGGAACTACACGGCTATCTCGCCAAACTTGTTGGACATTTACAAAGTTCATAGCATAGGTCACAGCTGAAGACCTTTCATTCTGTTCCTGCTGGAGAATTTTTAGAGAAAAATCTTCAATTGCTGTTGTTATACAATGTGCCATGGGAAGAGATATTTCTTTAAATGCACTTCTCCAGCCAAAATCTAGGAAAGTAGCCTGAAATATAAATTTATATGGCATTATATTAATTTTAACTCGCCAACAAGTGTTTCTATTGTTACAGATATAAAATTATTGCTTTCATTCAGCATGTCAAATATAGGTATTCTTGGATAAGCTGTAAAAGCCATTCTTACAACCTGAAATATATTACCCAGTGAATAAAGCAATATACAAAAACATGTACATTCTTTAACACACAGTAATATCCTGACATTTCATTTTAACTAATCAGTAGATTTAATCAAAAAATTTTTCAAAATTTAATCTCTTAAATATAGTTCAATAAAACCATCTTATGAGAGCTGAAAGTTATACTTACTATTTATCACATAAAGCAAACTTTAAATTCAATATATTTAATAAAATCTAAATTAGATTTTATAGTCTTTTTTAGAGTTTATTGTTAACAAGTATTGCAACATGACAGCATTCAATATTCAACCTTTTATTTCTTTTTCACTCTCAGAAATCCAGATAAGCCAAAAAATAGTAATAAATGTATTTCTCAGAGAAAATACATCACTGCACCTTCCTGGATCTTTACTTTAGAATTTTATTTAGTTTCTCCACTCATAGAGTGGTAAGTGGCACTACTTTTGTTCCAGGAAATGAAAAATTAAAATTATCTGCATTACTCTGTGGCGGGGGTGGGGGGAGGTGGAATGGGAAGTTTGGGGTGGAGGTTGGTGTTATTTTCTTTTATTCTTTTGGTCTTTGTCTCACATAGCAATATATTAATGAATGTATATTTTCCCCAAGTCCTCTTATGTTCTCTAGTACTAAAAACATTATGGGTAGTAGGCTGAACCTGTGCTTAGAATTAAACTTTCCCTGTTTTCATATAATCTTGTTTACAGTAATAATTTACCTACTGCAACTTCAGAAGACTCTAGGCTCAATATCTCTGGCTAAATTACTTATTTTTATGGATCCCAGCTTTTATGTCAGAAAAATAAAAGAGCTGAATTGGTTGATTTCTATGGTAACTTTCAGTCTAAAATTACTGAGATTATGATCATTAACTTCATTTTCTTGTACAAACATCCCACTCAGCATTAATTTTATGCTTTGTGTATATACTGTATAAAGTAATAAAGGTGATTCTTCTAGAACTAAAATTCTATGATTCCATGATTCATTCTATAATCAAAAAAAGTGGCTCTCATTCTCATTATGCATATAATTAAGTTGTAATTGAACTTTCTAAAATTTATTTGGACTTTTAACATCATGGGGCTGGAAAACGCATCTCTCATTTTATTTTTGCATAAAATTATTCAATGTTTGAATCTATTAAGCTCATATCATCTCCTTCCTTATATGTGAAACTTTAGAAGTGTCATGGACATAGTCCTGTACTATAATAGTATTTCTTTGGGACATATTTATGACAGAAATGTAAAAAGGAAACCACCTCCACAAAAATTAAAAAATAACAGCAAAACTGGTTTTTATCTCCCCACCAAGGAATATTTATTCATTAAAATTAATCGTTCATTCATTCATTCATCCATACATCCAAGGAAATACGTCCTGGTAAAAATTGCCAGTATTGCCATGGCTGTAGTGATGTGTGTTTGTGCGTGTGTGTGTGCATGCACATGTGTGTGTGCAATGATAATTATCTTGGCCCATGGTAATTTATGTGTAATTATAATATCTTGTTCCATCTGATATCTTGTTCCATTTTCTTTTCAAAATATAAAAAACCAAGCACATTAATAGCTGCTCTTAAAAAGAAAACTAAAACCTTTACTACTTAAATGTCCTCCTAGAAGTCTATTTGTTTTCACGAAATATTGTCTGTGTCCTTTTACTCTTTCCATCTGATGATTGGCACCAAACATATTCCAGTTAGAATAAAGAACATTTACTAGTTGATCAAAGAAGAAAGAGGAAATAATGTGGCTTTCCGTTCTGTGCACGAAGTAAATACCCATTGAATTCCTTCTTTCATCATTTAATGCTAATTTCTTTATACCTACTCTGATTTTTGGTTAAAGTATAATGTATAACTTTTCATTTTCCTGATTATTTTCCTTGCTTTCTAAGTTGAAACTATTAAAATTCTGTGTTCTTTTGCTTTTTGAAATGTTTACCTATTATATTAGTCAAGATCCATTCAGAAAACAGAAATCACTCTAGGTATTTCAAAAGAAAAATTTTTAACTGTAGGTTACCAAGGTGGTAAAATTTTGAGGAGCCAAACATGGGTTGTGAAGTAACGACAGCTATTAATATAGCAGGAAGCCACTACCATTCCTGGGGCTGGAGGAACAAAGCAAGGGGACTATCTATGGAAGTCTAGTTCCTGGGGCCACCAGTCAAAGTTAAAGGTAAGGCAGACCTGCCAGGTGGAACTGAAACCATGGAGGGAGGACTGTGTGGTGGGAGCAGGGCCTACAGAAGAGATAAAGCAGTTATGGATACAGAGAGAGGAGAAGAAATACTCTGGTTTTCTCCAACATCTACCCTCTAGGTCTTCCATCAATGCTTTTCAGTGGCCAAACCTTCCCAGAATCCAGAAAGCAAGGAAGCTTGGAAGGGAGAGAGTGGTAATGGATCTAAGAACAAACAGTTACATGGTGGATACACGAAAATAAGAAGCCAGTTCAAACTATCCTTTCTTTTTCCTTTCCTTTTTAATATCCATTTTTACCCCTTCTCAACAATTATCTACAGTCCAAATTCTCAAAGTGTAGACACTTAGTTGGGATGAGAACGAAGATTTCTTCACTTCTAGCTCCCTACTCTGTCCGTGGAATCAACTGTGCAAAAGAGGAGTCTCCACAAAATTCAATTTTCATCAAAGCTTATAAGCCAATTTTCAATCAAGAATTATTTTTGCATGTGTTAAAGGGTAAAACTCAAAACATTTTGATTCATAATGGATTCACATACATATGATGATGGTATTATATATGAATAAAGAAATACCACCCTTTTATTCATCACTTACCTCTTTTACCGGTAGCAATTGCTCTGAAGGATTACTGATTTCATTTCCTTTGGGTTTCTCTATTACAGCTTCTGTATTGGATATGTCCAAAATTCCTATGTGATAGAAAAGAAAACAAACACACAAACATACATTAAGAAAAACAAACCATACTAGGTGAAATTAATAAACTCAGGCTAAAATTAATTACATAGAAAATCTCTATCTATAGTATATATACACATACATACATATCAAAATGCAGACAATATAGTCAACAAGATGTAGGGTGATGTCACCATTACAATAATGACAGTATCAAAATATAGAGTCCTTTTCCATTCAAACATACAACTTGATAAAATTTATGTGCTATTTATATATAAATTTGATGTACATACATATATAATCTGTAAAATATAGATCCATTTGTCATGAATGCATTTTCATGTTGATAATGTAGGATAAGTTAAGAGTACAAAGGAAATATTAATTTCCTTGTTCATGTAAAAGATTAAATTCTAAAATGTTGCATTTAAAAACAGGTGGTGTTTCTTAGCACTTTAATACTTCTTTTTTTAAAACAAGAAGGAACAAAAGTACATGGATAAACATCAGCATTTTAGAAAAAATTACACTCTTTATAAAGTATGTCAATAATTCATTGGAAAACCACAAACACTGGGATAGATAAAAAATAATTTCTAGCTTCAAAAATGAAAATATTTTCTCAACTTTTAGATTTTAGAATTAAGAAACTCTTTTCCCTAGGGAAAAAAAAAAATAAACCTACAAAAATTTAATAAATAAATATGCCAAAAAGAAATCTTTCCACTTTTTCATTAAGGTTCTATTAATTATATTTTAATTTGATATGAATGAGTTAGCATTTGTTTCTTGCTTGGACTTGATACATGATGGTGAATTATAACTATGATGTAATTTTTTAAAAAGTTTAAGAATCTTAAGAGTCAGTTTCTCCTTATGTCCTGGGCAAACAAATTTCAAAATCTGAGTCAAGCTTCTGACCAATATAGTCATCTAGAAGATATATGCTTTTTTTTGTTTTTTGTTTTTTTCTAAATATTTGGTTCTGTGAGCTTAATCGTGAGTAATTTCTAAGTAATACAGTTCAGAGAAACATTCTCTAGAGAGCTAAATATTCTCTTTGATAGAGATAACAACATCCTTTTGGGAAATTTCATCAGAGTTTATATATTCTAAGGAAAAGTTTCTTCACCTTTTCTTAATAATTTAGGATTTGTGAATACTTTTGAGAACTTGATAAACGTAACAGAACCCTCCAACCATATAGTCTATGTAAATGTTCACACACACACACACACACACACACTCACACACACACTCACACACTCACACACACTCCTGAGGGTTACCAGGCCCTCCTGTAAATCACATTCATGAACCTCAAGGGACCACAGACCGCAGTTTAGGAATCCTGCTTCATTTCTCAACACACATCACAACATGAAGGTTTTAGATCAATGTTATATGCATTTAACCTAAAATGCTTTCTCTATGACATGCATTTTATTATGTCTTTTTAAGAAGATGGTATTATAAATAAGAATCAATTCTAACATTGAAATAAAATCCAGATTAATCAAAGATTTTTAAATAAAAAAAGAAAACTATAAGGCTACTAAAAAATATGGAATATTTTGTGTAGAAAGCTATAAGGCTACTAAAAAATACGGAATATTTTGTGTAGAGAAGACTTTGCAGGACACTAAGTGCAAAAGCCATAAAACAATTCTGCATAACAAAATATCATTAGCAGTCAAAATAGATATGATAAACTGACTTTGCTCTTTCTCTCAAAATGTCCACACTTTAAAAAAAAGTTAATAGACTTTAGTTTTTAGAGTAGTTTTAGGTTTACAGAAAAATTGAGCAGATAGTACTGAGTTTCCATAAATTCTCTCTCTCCCTGTCCTCAGTTTCTCCTATTGTTAACATCTTGCATTGGTGTGGTATATTTGTTACAACTGATGAAACATTATTGATAGATTATTATTAACTAAAGTCCATAATTTATATCAGGGTTCATTCTTTGTGTTGTGCAGTTCAATGAGTTATGCCAAATGCATAATGTCATATATCCACCTTTAGTGTATCATACAGAATAATTTCACTGCTCTAAAACCCGCTGTGTTCCACCTATTCTCCTCTCTTGCCCTTTCTCTTCCCTTAACAACCACTGATCCTTCAACTGTCTCTATATTTTTGCTTTTTCCAGAATGTCATACAGTTGGAATCATATAGTAATTAGCCTTTTCAGAATGGGTTTTTTCACTTAGCAATATGCATTTAAAATCCTTCCATGCTTTTCTGTGGATTGATATCTCATTTATTTTTATCACTGAATAATATTCCATTGTATTGCTGTACCACAGTTTATCAATTTACCTAGGGAAGAACATCTTGGCTGCTTCTGGGTTTTGGCAATTACGAATAAAGCTACTATAAACATTCTTGTGCAGGTTTTTTTTTTTGTGGACATAAGGTTGCAATTCATTTGTGCAAATATGTAGGAGCACAATTACTAGATCATACAAGATAACATTTAGCTTTGTAATATATAACCAAATTGTCTTCCAAAAAGGCTATACTATTTTACATTCCTATCAGTAATGAATGAGAGTTCCTGTTGCTTTAACTCCTTGCCAGAAACTGGTGTTGTGTTTCAAATTTTGGCCATTTTCATTGGTGTGTAGTACTATTTTCTTGTTTTAATTTGCATTTCCCAGATGACATATGATGTTGAGCATCTTTTCATATGCTTATTAGCCATCCATGTATCTTCTTTGGTGAGGTGTCTGTTCAAATTCTTTGCTCATTTTTTAATTGAGTTTTTTGTTTTCTTATTGAATTTTAAGAGTTCTTTGTATATTTTGGATACAAGTCTTTTACCAAATATGTGTTTTGCAAATATTTTTCTCAGTCTGTCCCTAGTCTTTTCATCCTCTTAATGACCATACCTTTTTACTTGGCAATTCCACTTTAGAAATTTACCATCCAGTTATACATGTGTACATATAAGACATAGGTCAAGGAAATGTGCCATATAATTATTTGTGGTAGCAAATGGACATGAAAAAAGGACCCTCAAGGTCCATCAATGAGTACTGGTCAAATTCATTAATGGAAAACTATTCAGCTGTTAGAAAGAATGAGGTGTTTTTACATAACTGTTAATAAAAAAGAACCTGTGCATATTACGTCAAGATTTTGTGTTATTTTAATATGAGGATATATATGGAAGTAGTTGTCTCTGGAAAGGGAAATTAGACAACTGGAATGGGAAAAAAACATAATTTCACCATATACTCTTTGTCTTATTTAAACATTTTACTATATGCATGAACCACTACTCAAAGAAATTTTTAAGAAAAAAAATAATAAAGATCAAGTTTATGACATAAAGGAAGAACACTTATATTCTTTTTATTATTATTTTTATTTTTAAATTATTGTTGACATTTAATATTATTTTATATTAGTTTCATGCGTACAGCATAGCGGTTAGACGCATATAATTTATAAAGTGATCCCCAAATTAATCTAGTACCTGCCTTCACTAATGGTGAAGAGATCAACAAGTACACATTGGTAGTTACAAAATAGTCACGGGGAAGTAAAGTATAGCATAGGGGATACGGTCGATAATATTGGAACACTTGGATTCTTAATGTCACTTTACTCTTCTACAGACAGCTCAAAAACTCCTTTAATTTAAAAGGTATTTACTCAGGAAAAATAATATTAGCTCGAAGTATAAACTTTGCAGATCTATTTCTGGAAATAACTATCTGCCACTGTGAAGCTATAATTTAAGACTTATGAAAAAAGTTTAATTATCTTATATTTATCATTTCACTCCCAGCTACATATGTTTTATTCAATCAAATTAATATGCTTTGATATTTATACAAACCATTTGCCTATTTTCATTATCAGTAAATAAAAAGTTAGGCTTCCCAAGACTTCTCTGGCTGGTGAGTAATTCTATAGTAATATAGAAAATGAATTATCAAGCAATTATGATAGCCTTTATAATATAATCTTCCCCCCAAATTACAAAGACTTTTTAAAAACTTAATCCTATATAGAGAAGCAAAAGGGATCATTCTTGGGTAAGATTAGTAACATTGAATGTAAAATAATAACATCTCTCTTGATTTTAACAAATTGTGGAATTTTTATATTTGCTTGGGATTCAAAATGATCAATTTCAAAATTTGACATTGTCAAACTTTATGAGCTCTGTGAACATTTGACAAATTATTTCACCTATTTAAAATATATTGAAAATTCTTTTTTGTTTCCCAGTAGTAAAACATTTACTAGAGCAAGCAGAAAGGAATGAACATCTTAAAGAAACCGTCACAAAGTCACAAAATTCAAAGTATGTATATTTCTTTTATAAACAAGATAGAACAAAAATCATCAAAATCATTTCAGCAAAAGATTTTTCTACCATTGTGCCAAGCATTTTCTAGAGAAGGTAGCCCATTCTGGGCTCATCGCTCCAAAATGTAGGTTATTTGCATGCAATCAATACTGGTTTCCTTAAGAGCATGCCCGGATTAAGGACCTCAGTAGAGTGCAGAGGGTCACAGGAATGTTAGCTGCTGAACAGCCTCCCCCTACAGAGTTCGCTGTGGTTCATTTTATACTTCTGGTTAGTTTCTACACTGTCGCTTTTTTTTTTTTTTTTTTTCCTAGAGAGTAGAGGTTGGCAGTACTTCCCTGTGACATTCACTTTCACACCCAAATTGGTCTTCATGGGCTCCCATTGTGTGCACTACAAAGCAACTTGCCTTGTTGGCAGCTCTAAGTGAGAACTACAAGTCTCTTTTCTTCACTGTTCTTTTCTGGCTCACAAGCAACCTCCCACCAAAAGCTGAATCTGTAGAAGAGACTACATCCAAGAGATAATACTATGAAAAAGTATGAAGAGAAGCCCAGGTGGCCACCTTGCAAATTTCCAATGTGGAAGCCTTCGACCTCTCTGCCCAAGAAACAGCTAAAGTCCTAGTGTAATGAGCTTTACAAACCCTAGGAGCCTCTTTACCTTAACTACATACGCCTCCCTAATACAGTCCCTTAACCATCTAGCTAAGGAACTCTTAGAAGCCATTTGACCCCTCTTAAGACCCCCTAAGAGTACAAACATTCTTTCAGAAGATCTGAAATCTTTGATTCTTCTGAGACAAACCCTAAGTGTTCTTCTTACATCCAATTGAAGCAGCCATTGCTCTTTGTCGATTGCTGGGGCTAAAGGAAAATGAAGGCCAAGAAACCTCCTGGTTTAGATAAATCTCAGATGCCACCTTTGGAAAATTTGAGGAACTGCCCGAAGAACAACTTTATTCTGAAGGATCATTAGAAGTGCCCCATAAATCAAACCTGAGGCCACTCCATAAGATATAATCACCTAAAAGAAATACACTAAGGTACCAGTCAAATAATGTCCTATCATTCTCTAAAATGACCAAAATAAAAACCATCAAATCATGATCCAAAAAAAAAAGCAAATAAATATAATGGCTAAATATCTTTTCTTTCTCAAAAAATATTTCTTGGGTCTCTATAAAATCTGTTGCATCATATTCAAATTACTAAGACTAACTCAACAATATAGTAGGAAACATCAAAGTAAAAAGTGGTTAATCATCTTTATATCTTCTCTATGTGATGTTAAGCACCTGGATATTTTTAAAACATCTGGACAATGAAAAAAAAAACCTTACCTTTCATCACATTGTTTTCGTTACATAGACATAGCAGGCCAAGATCTTTATTAGCAAAATATGCTCCAATCAAAAGAAATACACAGGAAATCAAATGATGATTTTTTCTTTATTCTCTCCCATACAAGATTTCTAAGCAAAAGATTAACTATCAGGATAATTTAAGATACATTTGGTTTCTTTAATCATCTGTTTCAAGGAATCTTTTCCCTACTGATTTAATAAACCAAGGCTTTTGGTAAGAATTGATTAACTTGGCTAACTGAATAAAATATTTAAGACTTTTCTTGACAATTATCCTCAAAATCATCTTTCTAGGGAATATTTACATAAAGTTATGTCAGATTAAATCAATCTTGGCTTTGTTATAAAAAAAATACAAAATTTCAACAATAAAGAAAACATATATGACAAGGAAATGTTCCAGTACTTAGACATTTCTTATACCTGTCCTTCAAAATTCCTTTCATAGTATGTTTGATAATCCCAAAATATATTTCTCTAGTACACTATTATTAATGTGATATTGAAGTTGCTTTTATCTGCCATGCTGCTTATGTGACAAATTTGGGGTAAGACAATATATTGCGGCATAATTAAATATTTTCTCTGTTGATTTTATTCAATAATAGTAACTATTGCTCTCAAATAGACAGCATTTGCAAGTCTCAACATTGCTTGATCTTAGTCTACCAAAGTCAAACCAGCTTTTTCTTTTTCTCTTTTTTCTGAAATCACTATGTCAAAATTTTGCTTCAATTTTCGGCCATTTCAGTTTTATATGTTTACCATACCTCTCTAACTCAATTCAAATTTTGAATTTATGTTGCCCTTAAGAGGAATGAAATTCTCAGAAATGACCTAATTTCTCTAGGGCCTGGCCTAGGACCAATGCAAGATGAGTCTGGATGGGTAGAGGTCTAGATTTGTTGGGGTTCACTCTGTTTCTTGATCCACGACTCAGAAACGATCTGCTAGAGATGTAGATGAGGGATGCCAGACTTTAGCCAAGAATAATGGATGAGTGCCCACATCAAGTCTTAACTGCTCGAGGAACCAACATTTCAATCAAAAATCAGGATGTCATATTTCTCTATTCGGATCTCTTTGACTCAGTCAGTTCCATCTAGAAAACCATTTAGGACTCACTTTATCTCCTAATTAATCTACTTTTTCATTCTGTCTTTTAATTTTCATATTTTATGTCTTATATTTTAATTATTTTCTCATTGGCTTTTGTCAGCTTCAGAAATCTATATCCCACCTCCAATTTTCTTCAAATTATCTCCAAATTTGGAAAAAGTATCTACATTATTTACTTTATAATGTAATAATGCCACTTAAACTTAACCTGAAACATGGACGGGCAGTAAGCTATGCTTAACATAAAACAAACTCCAACCCTATAACTTTTCTACATTATTTACCCAGGCAAAGTAAGTAAATACAAAAGTAAATATATTAAACGAAATGTAATTCCTTACTAACAAAACAAGGTTTTGAAATTTTCCGATTGTTAATCACTTGCTTGCCTAACTTTGTTTTACAAATGCAGCCCCTATCTATATTTATTCTCCTTAAAATGATATATGGTATCACGTAAAAGAGAACTTTGTATAGTTCATTCTGATATAGATGCAAATCTTTATAAGTATAGATATGAACACAGAGTACATATCTTAACTATTATGGCTCTGAATTCTACCTTTAATTTTAGAAACATTATTCCAACACACATGGCACAGTTTTCTTCAAGATTTTAAGACTAAACTTAAAGCAACATATGATATAATTATAATTACTATTGGAATAACATGTATTAATTGTTTATGATACACTAGATATTCTTTAAAATACTTTATACACCCTAAATCATTTAATTCTCACATTCATACATAACATATTGGAATCTAAAGCATCAAATTGTACAAGAAAACAAGAGGAAATTAGTCTGCTCCTACACTATCCTTGTGAAAGTGAGAAAACTGAGGTCTAAGGAAACTAAATATTTTGTTCAAGGTCATCTAGCTGCTAGTAGCAGAAGAGGAGCTACTGGATCATCCAATCTGCTTGTTCTTTTCATAGGCCAGGCTGTGTTTCTTTGAATTAAAAAAAAAA